GAGTCTGTGAATAAATTTGTGGAAAAAACAGGCAAGGCTCTATGATCAAAATAACGGAAGATTATCATAGAAGATTGGTTAGTTAAGTGGTCTGTGAACCAAGAATTAATACAAAATGATCATGCAGAAAACTACACATGCAAATATTTATTCGTATTATGATTTATTATTTTCAAAGAAGTGAGTGCCACCTGAAACTGCGCAAGTGGTTCGCGTTATTTGAATCAGAATAGAAGCAGTCACGTCAACCACGTTGTGCAAAAACGAAGCTTCGGATGTCACAGATCACGTGGTTTTGGCAAAACGAATCACAGTACAGTGTACAGTGCTTCACTGTGAGATGTTTCGTTTTTTTGATTCAAGCTTCGAAGCCTCGGTGTCGAACGTCACATCACTATCCTGCACCATTGAGTCCTCGCCTCATCCCTTCATCCCCAACCCTGACAAATTTAGCTCAAAGCGAATCATTTATGATTTTATAGAGAATTTGGACAGAATCACTGTTTTACGGCTGATCACTGAGTCAGCCAGCGATTCATTGAACGAGCCATTTAACATCAATTCTGCAATGGATATTAATATCCAAAGTATAGTGAAAACACTATTTATTAGCACAGTAACAAGATCGGCAGTTTAAGACATTTACTTATAAGCACAAAACACAAGATACTTCTCTTTTCAATATAAATAAGGCTTTATTGGATAAATCTAAGACATATAAACTAATCTAACACATGAACACCCGCACTCACACATTCACACAAGTTGCAGAAAGAGAGAAATTGAGGAAAGAATGAGTGTGAGAGAGTGAAAATGTGAAATCCCAAGTTTATAGCAATATGTGCAATTGCTTAGACCTGAACAACCATCAATCATTTAATTAACCCTCGCATTGAGTTTCTCAATGAGGCTATTAAGCTTTATATTAAATGCACCAGTTCAGCTAGAATCTGGAGGTACTTGCCTTACTTGTTTAGGGGGTTCCCTTGTTGTCTTTGTTGCAGAAAGGGGTTTTGCAAGGTTGTTGTTTGACTGGAAGTCCAGTTGAATTTTCCGAATTTTCCCGCTCTTGCAGATTATAATTTGAACATGATTTCTATAACAAGAATATAATACATTTTACAAAGAATTGCTCGATAGAAACGTTTAAAGCATGAATTTTCAAATTCATACATACCCAACATGAATATAAACTTATAAACTATTCAGTAGTTATTCAAAAGACATACACAATGAGTGCAGGCGTGGCCTAATGGATAGAGAGTCTGACTTGTAACCAGAAGGTCCAGCGCTCTCTCCACCCTCAATACCACGAATGAGGTGAGACCCTTGAGCAAGGCACCGAACCCCCAACTGCTCCCCGGGTGCTGACCACTGTTCCGGGTGTGTGTGCCTGTTTATTCTTAACTCACCTCTGTGTGTGTGCACTTGGATGGGTTAAAGGGTTAGTTCACCCAAAAATGAAATTTAGCCCATAAATTACTCACCCTCAAGGCATCCTAGGTGTATATGACTTTCTTCTTTCAGACGAATCCAGTCATAGTTATATAAAAAATGGTCTTTGATCTTTCAAGCTGTTTAATGGCAGTCAGCGGGTGTTGCAGTGCATCAGTCCAAAAGAAGTGAAATAAAAAGCACCCATCCATAATAAAAAGTGTCTCACTTGGCTCCGGGGGGTGAACAAAGGCCTCCTGTAGCGAATCGATGTGTTAGGATGGCTTGAGGGTGAGTAATTTATGGGCTAATTTTCATTTTTGGGTGAACTAACCAATTACTTGGCCACACGTCACGTCTTTCCTTTCCTTTGATTAGGAGATGATAGTGAAATGTGTGGGTTACAAACATAATATGGAGTTAGGCATAGAAATTAATAGTTGCTCACAAGTCCTTTTTAGCATCATGTAGGTGCATATATACATGTAAATGCAGTTGCTGTGCCATTCTGTGAATGTGATGACATGTTCTGTGAAGACCAAAGGTCAAAAGGGTTTAGAAGGAATCTCAGTCTGGTCTTTGTCTTCTAGGTGGGGGGAAACCACCCAACGCAATCTCTATTAATGATTTTCCTCATGTGATGGTCATGATATGCTATGTCTTTGACCATTAATCTTGGTTACTTGCCCCAAATTTGACAAACTCCTTTGAATTGCCAATAAGTGTTCTTTTGTTTTAATGCTGTGAGCTGCTCAAAGCTGCTAGTTCGTTAGGCTCACTTCAGACTTGTGGCGCCAGGGTATCGTGGACAGATTTATGTCGTTGTCTTGTTATCCTGGGCCTCTTTGTGGAATTTGGCTCTTTGGGTTGTTGTAACACCAATCTGATCAAATCTTAAATTGTCTGATTCGCTCTGATACCCTACATGGTAATACAGTAATTTAGTAATATCAACTTCTTCCAGTGTTATTTTTATGCACATAAATGGTACGCAGGTGCGCATGTGCGACCAAAATAAAAATAAGTTCAGATTTGCGTACCGACATGGTTGACAGCTGTTAAAGCAGAATTACCATTTTAGATTGACACATTTTAATACTGTATAAGATTTCTATTCGAACTGAAAGCATACAGTAAATCTAGGCTATCCTCGCCGTTTTAAAAGCACAATGCAAAACATTTTGTGACATTTCATTCACTGACGCTCTTCAATCGGAAGCGCTAAACCCAGCAGCGCATACTCAATTGCCGGCCTCAAACCGCCAAAATAAAAGCTTGCTGGTTTCAAGTTTGAAAATGATGAAATTTTTGAAATTTTATTTAATAGGCCTACTCCCTTTTTATTTTAAAATATAATAGTATTATCATACTTTATTATTTTGTTTATCATTTTATTTAAAAAAAAAAAATAAATAAAGTGCAATAATACTATTATGCCTATTATTAATTGATTTTTTATTTTTATATTTAATGAGCCACACTATGTGCAGTGTGAGGACTAAACCAAATCTCCAGGAGCTCTTATGAGAACCAGGCTGAAAAACGTATGTGCACCCCTGTCTATAGGAAAAGTGTGTACTTTCTCTAAACTCCGAAAGATTGAATCCCATAAGAGTTTTTCATGGAAAAGAATCGACTCAAAAGCTTGATTCAATCACGTCATCGGGCATAGCTGATTCTAAATAGACGACAGAAAAATGTACAGTACTTGTTTTAATTTTTAAATGCAATTTTAATAACTCTATTATGTTTTATATATGTCTATATAGTTTTTATTAAAATTTTCAGTTTTAGCTTTAGTAATTTTAGCTTAATAATGAGAAATGTTGCCATGGTGATTAGCTGAAGTAAAAAAAAGTTTAATGTCGTTATATTTTATTTCAAATAAAGTTTCAAATAAAGTAAAAGTGCTCCATAGGTGCAGTAGAAAATAGTGTTGACAGGCCCTGGCTAGCATATCTGTTAACATAGGCTACTAATTTTAATGGCACAAAGCAAGAGATTTAATTCCACATTATTCCTAAGGGAACAGAGCAAAGGTAAAATGAACATTTTTGCCATACAAAATTACCTTTTCACATATTATGCCTTAGTACAGGTAATCTGGGCATATTTCATTATGTTACTTAAGTGGACACTTAAACTCAGTGATATTTGATAATATCATTGATTTAATTTTCAATTATATTTGTTTTTTCTTCTTCTGTAGAGTGGTGAGAGCCTTAACTTCAGTCAGTCAGGCAGATCATAGGGAGGAAGTAAGATGGAGAATGTCCAAATAATGGGAGGCTAACAAAAGATCACATCTCTAGTTTCTCGAAAGATGACGTGTGGGAGCACAACACCCAGAGAGTCTTAAAAAAAATAACTCAAACTATTAATGTAGCCAAATAAAAATACAGAATGTGCTGTGCATTGACCATTTCTGAGAATAACCTTACATGACAGTAAGTGCTTAGATGTCCTCACTGATGTAGGAAGTCAGGCCTCTGTGGGCTCCAGGCAATCAGTTATCTGATCTCTCACCCACATCTTTCTGTCTATAAGCAAAACAGGACAATATGTGAGGTAAAGATGAAGACACAAAAACTAGCGGAAAAAAACCAACTCAGACTCTTCTCAGTCTGCTTTATGAGACAATTTTTGCATGTGTAACAACTTCCTTTTACCAAGTTAAATTTTTTTAAATGGTAAATCAAACTTTTTGATGCATGTGAAACATAAGGGTGAATTAGCTGAACGAATGTACTAAAACATGATGTATACATGACATGGCACCCTATGCGTATCCTTAAGTTTTTTTCCCTCCATACTGTTGTATGGAGAATAACTGTATTTATCTGTTGACTTGAAATGTAAATCAAACAAATATGATTTTGAGGTGAGTTTTTACAGTGGTCTGAAGACAAGCTGATAGGCACACAAAACCTTTTTGGGTCTGTACACACTGACTGCAGGGGCTAGTGGTTAGTAAAAAAAAAGTGTTTAACCATTTCGCATCTAGATCACTTTTCTCAGAGGGGGTTGTGTTGTGCTAGCATCACTTCGGACAGTTTTGGGTTCAGGTTTTCAGATGACTCAAGGACAGACTATAGAAACAAAACAGACAGATTATATATCTACAGTTAGTTTTAGTATGTTTTATTATGCAATACAATTTGAGATTTCCTGCCTAGACATCTGAAAGAAGGTTCACCGAGTGTTTCAAACAAAACGATCAACTTCCTCTTCTTAACAGATCACCAGGGCAGGTTAGACTCCATCCGTCTGCTGCGATGGAATTTGGTCACATTCTTATGTTCTTCATGACAGTTTGGATCTCCAGCACAGGTACCAAAACCCGTTCATTTTATCTCTGTCTTTTGACTAATAGTTAATTATTATTTATGTGCAACACATGACTGTAGACTATTCAAGTGATGTTTCATTTCCATAACTGCACTCTTAAAAATAAAGGTGCTTCACGATGCCATAGAAGAACCTTTTTGTCTAAATGGTTCCATAAAGAACCTTTAACATCTGAAGAACCTTTCTGTTTCACAAAAGGTTCTTTGTAACGAAAGAAGGTTCTTCAGATTATAAAAAGGTGCAGTGGGCATGATCGTACAATCAGAGAAATCCACCACAGCAACAACTGCACTCAGGAGAACGTGAAATCATTTGGAATCCAGACTCTAGCCCTGTATTGTATAGAGAACGTAGTTGTTTGTAACTACAGCAACCCAGTCAGCTGGAAGAATGACACAATAAAGATTAACCAACTTTGCACACCTCATGAACGTAAATAACTACTCTTACATCATCCATATTTGAATTCCTAGCAGTTTATTCTCAAACAAAATACCACAAAGTATCTTTAACTCAGGATATGACTGTTCTGATGACTGTTAATGTGACAGCTTTTCATTACAGAAGAAAATCCAGAAGAAAACATTTCCTTTCCTCTCCATTGGCTATTGGTCATCGCTGGTGTATCAGTATTGGTTTTCACAGCAGTTTCTGTAATATGCTGCTCTTACAAGAAGCGTAAAAAAAGTATGTCTGCCTTAATGAAATAGAAATGACTGTAGCCTCAGTATGATTTTTGGTATGCAAGTCACTTTCTAAATCTATTCTATTCTAAATCTCTTAGGTGCCCAACAGAATGATCCGACAGTCTATGCACAAGTTCAGGTAAGCTTCAGATATTTTTTTGTATAGCCATCATATAACATTTATACTCTTATTTCAAGAATGAATTAATGAATCCTAACACATAATTCTCTAGAATGTAGAATTATGTAGCCTACTTCAACTTGTTCAGTGGGAAGGTGGTGTCCACATAATATTAGCCATAAAGTCTGAATGAAAATGTGCATGTACAGAAGGATTTATATGACTGTTTGACTGGATTGTTCGGCAGCCGAGGAATGAAGTGCAAAGACCCCTGGAGATGTTGGAGAAATCAGCAAATCCTCAAACTGTGTATGGATTTACAGGGGAACACAAACAAACTCACAATACCAGTCAGACAATGCCTAGTCTTCAGGTAAGAAAGAGAGGGACACATTTACTTCTTCACACAGATGTTTTTTTATGCAAACCCTTACAAATATAGATAGATAGATGTCAAAAGGCCAATTAAATATGTTTGTTACTATTTTATATATTTACTATAAATACATATATTCACAGATACAGGAAGCGCAAACAGAAAATCGCCCCAGCACCGCCTACAGTACAATAGGACAACACCAAAAGCCATCATCTGCCTCTGAAACAGATCATACAATCTATTCAACAGTGTGTAAATCCACGCAGGGCAGACAACCTGTGCATAAATAGCAGAGGTTAAATATATGTTAAACTGTGTTTGTCGATAGATATCTTACAATAATTTTAAAGATATTTTTAACATATCATGGCAAGTATCATTAGTAATGAGTGATAATATTGGTGATAATTGTTTTGTTGAAGTTGTCTTATTGCCATTAAACTGTTTGTTTAATTAACAGTGTTCTGACTTCTTTGTACATTTTTGCTCTGAAACTGTGTATAATATTAATTGGATTTATATAATCATTGCAGTATGAGTAAATAAAGGTGAGGTGTCATGCTTCTTTCTCTTATAGCCATGAGAAACATTTATTTCTAAAATTAAGCAAGATAGAGATATTACAGATCTTTAAATATATGTAAGAATAAATGGCCGTTTTCACCTGCATTTAACATAAGATTTTGAGATGTATGTTGCTTGCATATAGTATTCAAAACCTTTACTTCTGTTAATCTGATTTAGAGATGACATGATGTCCATTGCAAAAGGAGCAGACTATGTGCACATATTTGCTTTATAAATATTATCAGTTATCACCAAAACATGAAAGATCTAGCAGTAAATGAATGTAAAAATATAATAATAATAATAATAATAATTATTATTATTATAATAACAACACTATTTTGGCTGGCTATCACTGTTTTGTTATAAAAACAGTCATGGACTGTTTTGATATTTGTTAAAATGGCATATTTACAACTCTGAAGTTGTTTTATGGTCTTTTTATGATTAGTGCCATTTCGCAGGCCAAAAACGTCTTCCAAAAAAATAATAAAATAAATCAATAGAAATAAATAGAAAAGGAATGCGCCAAATTCAGAATAAAAACATGGCATTTGTTGAACTAAGATAACAGTTCCAACTAGTGGAAACATTATGCACAATATATACAAAATATAAATAAATAAATGTAAAGGACAAAGGTAGCTGTGTGGTTAAAAGGTTCTAGGTAGCAGATACATTAATCTGATAAACAAAGGCATGATACATTCTTTAAAAACACAATTTCTTCATGTTTCTCTCCTCAGTATCCAGATCTAAAGATGTGTTCGTACAGACGGGGGGCTCTGTTAAACTAGACATAAAAAATGAAACACCACCACACTTTAGTAGATTAGTCTGGATGTATGATAAATCAGAAAATGTAGTCAGATTTCTAAATAATTCTGGAGAAATCAAACCTCACAGTTCATATAAGGACAGAGTGGATTTCAATGCTAAAACCTTCGCTCTAACACTGAGGAACATGCAGAAGACAGACAGTGGACTCTACAGAGCAATGACTATTGGAAAACAAGAAATGTGTGTTGCTAAATACAACATATCAGTTATAGGTGAGTATAATTTAGTGAAATAAAGTTTACTGTTGCATTTTTTCATAAATTTTTTTGGTTATGACCTTTACAGATTAGAATATCAAAAGAATATGCACTATGATGCATCAAACAGCATAAAGAGGATAAATATAATTTTAGTTGTAGCATACTTACAAAGTTTACAATGGATTTTTTTTTAACAATCTCAAGTATATTTGAAACTGTAAATGTTATCATTGTTACTCGTAAAAATGTATTTGCTTTCATTTCCACTGACTAAAATGTGAGGCTAACTTGTCACAAACTGTCGTGTGATGCTGTGGTTGGTGAATTCAGCTCCTTTGATCTAAAAAGAGCATCTAAAAAGGTGTCATAGAACATCTACTCACTCATCAAGGGAACTGAAATTCACTAGAATAATTTACTGAAAGGACAGGAAAAAATAAATAAATAAAATGTAATGAAATGAAATGGATATAGAAATGAAAGTTTCATTTTAAGGCATTAACTGACCAGGGCAGGCTTCACCTTAGCTACAACATGCTCTTTGAAAAGTCAATTAACCAGTAACAAACCGTGACTTTTAAACCATGGCCCTCTCAAATTAAGCTCAGGTCTTATTTCTTAAGGTCTTCTTTTGAAGATCAACTCAAATATTTCATTAAAAGTTCATCTTGGCGTGGATAATAAATGAGCAACAATGTCCACCTAATAATGTTGCTTGCGTTTTCCATAGTGAACAGCGTTAGGTATTTTATTGCCATTGTTTTCCGATTGAGTTCTTCACAGCCGTGAACCCATTTAGAGGGTCATTACTATTGCTTGGCCCTCTTTAATTTCATAGCTGGACCACCAATCACAGTGTTGAAATTAGGTGGAAAAACTCTAATGCCTGTTTCACACATACTCGATTTGCGCATATGTGCAAATACGGTGCATGTTTTTTTCCGCACCCATATTAATGGATCAGAGCATTCACACTGCATGCGGTTTCAGTCCGGCAGTGCCACATGCCTTGCTTGAGCAACTTAATATACAAATCCAGAAGTCAAATGCATTGAATAAAACGTTGTTCATATTTATTGAGTTTAACGTGAATATCTATGAAAGATTGTATTACTGTACTGTGATAAAAGATGACCTCAATGCTAAAAAAGCATTTTCAGTAACAACGTTTTGATTTGAAATCAAAATAATGGTTGTGTATGTGGTAAACAGCTGCGGATCAGGAGCGGACTACAAACGCATCCTGTATGAAAGCAAAATGAGTCTATGCTGCTTCTGCACCGCATACGTAACGCATATGGACTGCATACGCACTGCAAAGTTTTGGTGGTGGTTGTGTCTGAGTGAGAAAGGAATAAGCAATTTGAGAGATGTAGTGACTGAATGTATTTTGTGGCAAAGCAATAGAAAATTATCCACAGTTTATCCCACATAGAGTGCTGTTGAACTCACTGTGTGAAGAGTTTTGAAAAAGTGATCTATAGTGTTTAGAAATGGGTCCTAGCGAATCTAAAAAACTGTAACCTATAGCTTCATGCAAAGTTTTCTGTATGTTTCAGATCCAGTGGATTCTCCTATTCTGAACTGGAATGCCAACATAAGTGTTAACGCCTGTATTGTGGATGTCTCATGCAGTGGGCATGATCGTACAATCAGAGAAATCCACCACAACAACAACGTTTTCACCTGCATTTAACATAAGATTTTGGGTAACACTTTACAATATGATTGCATTTATTATAATTAGTTAACTACATTATTTAACTAATATTGTTGAATGCTTCTAAATAATAATCAAACAGTTGCTGGTCACCACTGACTTCCATAGTATTTTTATTTTCTATACCATGGAAGTTAGTGGGGACCAGCAGTTGTTTGATTACCCACATTCTTGAAAATATCTTCTTTTGTGTTCAGCAGAAGAAAAAACTCATACAGGTTTGGAACAACTTGAGGTGAGTAAATGATGACAGTTTTCATTTTTCAGTGAACTATCCCTTTAAGTGTTCAGAAACTTACATACAGTATATTGCCATAATATCATGTGTGTACTTTCCAGAATAGTTTTTGTTTTCACCTAAATCAAATGTAATGAGGATATTCCCATTTCTCATCCTTCATTCTGATCAGCCTTTGCTTCATTAATGAAGTAGTAAACTCACATACTGCTGAGTAGGATGTACAGTCTCAACTGAGTGAGCACCGGAAAGTTTGGTTCTTTTTTTAGTGTTCATGCTTCCGCCACAGAGCTAAGCTGAAACATTAATCTCACCATTTGTTCTCATTCAGCAAACATCTCTACATCTCACTGTTATATGCTGAAAGTTTGTGTTTGCGTGTAGTCTATCCATTACTAAAAAGGGTTTTAATAGTTTTTAGCTTTGCACAGCTATAGCACAGGAATAAACCACTTATGAATTAACTTTTTGACACTTTTTACACTCAGCAGCAAATTCTGATACTGACATAAAAATGCATAAAAGACAAAAGAGGAAATGCTTGAAAATGGTGAGATGTAAGTTTTAGCAGTTTTAGCTCAGCTCTGTCTGTGGAAGAAACCCCACGAGTATTAAAAAAAAAACTGTCCAGGGCTCAGTCAGTTGAGACTCTTGTAAAAACATCTCATACTTCTATTCAGCAGTATGTGTGAATATACTACTTCACCTTTGAGGTTCAGAAGGAACTTGGTTTCTTTTTGTCAGTGTGGCACTAAACTTCTATGTCTACTAGGAAGTCAATGCAACAGCAGCAATTTAGAGTCGTTTCATTTTAAAGGGGTCATATGATGTTGCTAAAAAGAACATTATTCATGTGAAAAGAAATGTCATGTGTAGCCTTTGCTACACTTGTAGGCTAACTGATAAAATAGTCAGGGCAGTGCTGACAACACCTTTTTGTGCAAACTGCGTGACCGTAGTGTATGTGTGCGAGCACGTGTGATTGCAGTAATTCCTGTGTGCTGTATAGGTACAGTACTGTATGCTAATTTCAGTCTATAGTGTTTAGAAATGGGTCCTAGCGAATCTAAAAAACTGTAACCTATAGCTTCATGCAAAGTTTTCTGTATGTTTCAGATCCAGTGGATTCTCCTATTCTGAACTGGAATGCCAACATAAGTGTTCACGCCTGTATTGTGGACGTCTCATGCAGTGGGCATGATCGTACAATCAGAGAAATCCACCACAACAACAACTGCACTCAGGAGAACGTGAAATCATTTGGAATCCAGACTCTAGCCCTGTATTGTATAGAGAACGTAGTTGTTTGTAACTACAGCGGGCCCCGTAGTATAAAGCTGTATTAAATTATTCTCTACTTAAGAAACGTTTTTATGAAGTATTTTTACTGTTAAAACCAAACTGATTGCCTTAAAAAGACCAAGTAAGTGTTACTTCAGTGAATTAAGTGCTTCAACTGTCCAGTGAGCAATAACACACATGCACGTGCTAACATAACCAAACACACACACACACACACACACACACACACTTACTGC